AGCAAACGGATACTGAGCGGTATAAAATCAGGAAAGCATCCTTCACTATATTTCTGTAATCTGGATGTTGAGCTACTAGTCTGATAAACTGAAGGAAGGGAGAAGAACTCAACCTCAGGCTTGGAGGAAAGGTCCTTAACAACCGACACACGAAGGTGACAACCTTTCTTGCCGAAAGCCAAGGAGACTTGGAAGCACTTGTGGATAAGGATCAAAGCCTTCAGCCTCCCCTATAGATGACATCTTCATGTAAAACGACCGTCTTCACGACTACAGCAGTAAGCAGCATCCTGCTAAATGGAGAAAAGATGGATGTTTCCAAGGGTTTCATTTGACTTGGGTCCACAATGGACGCCCGTGGAAGTAGCCCTCCACAAACCAAACTTGTCTTGCGTTGGGAAAAACTGATGCAAAAAATTTCTTTAAAGTGTTGAAGAGAGAAGATGTCACTTCAGGACCCAAGCCATGAGCTTCCAATCATGTCATATGCCCGCGAAAGCTGGGCGATGAAGAAGGAAGACGGAAAGAGTGGATACCTGTGACTCATGGTGTTGGCGAAGCATCCCGGAAGCTCCACGGAGGGCCAGGGGGATGAAGACATCTGTCTTAGAAGGACCACCAAAATGTTCTTTAGGACGGGGGTGGCGAGACTTCGTCTTTGGTGGTGTGCACATGTCATCAGGAAGGGCCAGTCTCTGGAGAAGGGCATCATGCTTCCTAAGGCAGCGAACCAAATCAAAACCAGATTCACAGCCAGAGTCCATTCCTAAGAACAGGGCAGAACTGCCCAGGGCTGTCAGCCTTTACAAGAGCAGAAGGCCTCACCTTTCTCCTAGGGAGCAGCTGGTGGGCTGGAACTGCTGACCTTGTCGTTCGCAGCCCCACACAAAACCCACTCTGCCATCACAGCGCCTCGGTTTAGTCTCCGTGAGTCGGACTGATACAATGGCTGCCACAATGGGCTCGCACCACGCAGCAAGGTGGCGCAGGACCTGGCAGTGTTTGGTTCGGCTGCACACAGGACGGCTATGGATCGGAACCAACTCACCGGCATCTAAAACCGGCCTCCAGAAAAGACCAGAATGAGTCCATTTTACTGACAAGAGCTAGGGAATGCGCCGCTTAAGGCTCGTTAGCCGAGTCAGATACGGAGCCCATGCCTCCCGCACCAGGTCCCGCGGCGCCTTCTTCCGTCTCCCTCCAGGTGGCGCTGTAGGACCGGGCCTGGTTCCAAAGTCCTCAGCTCGACGGACGACGTAGAGCACAGAGAAAGCGATCTCATGGCTAGAGAGACTCTTCCCAGGAGTCCTCGGGTCGTCGCGCGACCTCTATCTACTTCCGTTTCCGGTTCTGGATTCCGGAAGTTGCTTTTTAAGCTAGCGTGCGGCTCGGTGTGGTTTCTCTGAGCTTCCACGATGGCGTACCGCGGCCAAGGCCAGAAAGTACAGAAGGTGATGGTGCAGCCCATCGTATCCTACGCCGGTGGTCGGGAGGAGGAGATTCAGGCCAGGAAACAAAAGTAACAGGCCGAGAC